GGAACAAGGGGAGGGACACTGACCTTTGCCAACATACGCTGCGGATGTCCAAGGCGGCGGTGGTTCGCAGTAGCTGAAGAACGCACTGCACTACACGGTCGATTGCAGCAGCGGCCACGACATGGAGTGCAGCCCTTTTTTTTGCTCGACGGCCTGGAAAAGTATGGGGTTTGAATTGAAATTCTTAGTGCCTCCCTGCTGGACGGCATCTCAGGAAGATGCATCTCCCACAGAAGGGCAAATAGGACGTGGAGCAGGGGAAATAGGAATGATTGTCCGGTAGGGGCATTCCGAAAAGATGTGCCCCTCACCGACAGGGGTGTGCACTAAAGTTCAGAGGCCCAGGGGCATATCAGGGTAAATGCAAACTTTCCTTTTTTTTCCGTTATAGTGTGAATCGTCGCCCCGCAGAACGTGGCGCCGGGCCTTGTGGGAACAACCTGACCTTCCCTTGGTCACCCACAGCAGGGACCGGCGCCTTAGCGTGCAAGTCCCACGCCCGATAGGGCCAAGTACTGGTGCAGTGGCCACGAAAGGCACGCAATTCTGCCAAGCGTTTTTTTTTTTTTTTTTTTTTTGTGCCAACCGGTTTTGGCTGTCAGTTCCCATACATGTAGTCCAGGGGCATTCCTTCGTCCGCACCACACTAGGTGGCTAGGTCGCACTTGCGCGAAATAAGAGATAGAGACCGTAGATATCCGAGATCAACGGCAGAAATCTCCTAATCCGCGCCAGTGGGGGGACCTTGCCCTGGGGAACAGGGAGAGCCACCTTTCTAAGGGCATACTCACACTCCAGGAAGGTCCGAGTATGACCCCGCCCTTAGAGGACCAGAATCGATGTATCGTTGCGTTTTGAACTGACGGTGGTTGACGCACGCATTGCTACTGTCGATCGGCTTCCAGGCAGTGCCTCAAGGGCGTTTGGTGCCAGTTTTTTTCTTTTCTTTTCCTTTTGTGTTTGATGCCAGTTTCGTGGCGACCGGTTACTCCTCTCCTCTTCGAAACGCCGGGGGCGAGGGCCCACTGCCGGTAGCGAAGAGGATTGGATGGAACGTCTGAATTGGACACCTTTTCGGCACAAATGCAGAAAAACAGTTCAATCTCGATTTTGTCCACCCCACAAACGCGTCCAGATTCAGGCGTTCAATCCAATTCCTTCGCGCCATCCGCCGGTGGCCGGAGCGATGGCGCCAGCCGGCTCGGTCACCTTCGAGCCCTACGGCCCTTCGCTCCACTCCTCACCAAATGTGCAAAATTAGAAAGAAAGAATGTTCCTCTAGAATGGAAGAAAAAAAGAAAAAAAAAGAAAAAAAGAGGAAAAAAAAAAGAACATGGAAGTAATACCCTCCCATATTTTTGCCCTTTTGTACATACACACGGCGGAGAGTAGTCGAGCGAGGCCCGTACACTGGGAACGCCACGGCACCTTGTGGCGCCAGATTGTCCTACTTCAATTTCAATCAGAGAGTTGATGAATGTTTAGGCATTCCAATGGCCAAGCGTTGATAGGTTGATTTGGAACTGTGGCGTTGTAGCGATTGAAAGGCGAACGCGGAGGCCAGCGTTTCCTGCCTGACCGGTGGACATGTCACCTGCATCTGGGGGAATTTTTAAAATTTTTTAAAAACATCTGGGGGAAATTGACTCACAGCCTACTGGTACAACTGCGGTGTTCTTTTTTTTTTTTTTTTTTTTTTTTTTTTCTTTCCCGTAGAGCCGAAGGCGCAACTGCGGCGGAGGACACGAGAGCGATGGCGAAGCGGGTGGAATCGCCGTCCATCGGCATCGATCTGGGGACGACGTTCGGCTGCGTTGGCGTGTACAAGAATGGCCACGTGGAGATCGTTCCGAACGTCCAGGGTAACCGTAAAACGCCAGCATGYGTGGCTCTTACGCACGTGGAACGTCTGATTGGGGAGGCGGCGGACAGCCAGCTTGCGATGAACCCGTTGAATACGGTGTTCGGGGTGAAACGGCTGCTGGGTCGCAGGCTCGGCGACCAGTCGCTGGAGAGCGACCAGAAGTGGTGGTCGTTCAAAGTAGTGGCAGAGACTGATGGCAAGCCGCAGATCTGCTTGTCTTACAAAGGTAAGACGGTGATGTTCGCCCCAGAGGATATCTGCGCCATGGTGCTGAGCACGTTGAAAGACGTTGCCCAGGCATACATCGGTCGAGAGGTTAAGAATGTGGTGGTGTCCATTCCCACCCACTTCACGTATTTGCAGCGAAGCGCAACCGTGGACGCTTGCGTAATCGCAGGCTTGAATGTGATTCGGACCGTTCCGGACACGCTGTTGGCTGGGCTGACATATTGTCTGGAAAAGAGAGGGGCAAGGGCGGCGGCGGGGGAAGAGAAGGTTATGGTGTTTGACCTAGGCGGGGGCACTCTCGGAGTGTCGCTGATGACGGTCGGGGAAGGGGGCATGGAGGTGAAGGCGGCCGGAGGCGATACCCACTTGGGAGGCGAGGACTTCACCAACAGGCTGCTTGAACACTTGGCGGAGGAGTTCAGTCGGAAGCACGGGAGGAACGTGAGATGGAACGCGCGGGCGATGCAAAGGCTGAGGATGGCCAGTGAGCGAGCCAAGCGCACTCTATCGACAATCGCGAAGGCGATGGTGGAGATCGACTCCCTGTACGATGATCTGGACTTTCGGACGACGATAACGCGCGACCGATTCGAGGAGCTGAACGCCGATCTATTCCAGAGATGCGTGAGTTGCGTAGAAACGACTCTGAAGGACGCGGGGGTGGAGAAGAGGGAGGTGAAGGAGGTGGTGCTGGTTGGAGGATCGAGTCGAGTGCCCAAAATCCAGCAGATGTTGTCGGACTTGTTCGGCGGAAAGGAGCTGTGCAAGAGCGTCAATCCGGACGAAGCTGTGGCATACGGAGCGGCAGTGCAAGCGGCCACCCTGGAAGGCAGCTTCCGCGAGAGAGCGCCAGTCTTGAGGTGGACGGATGTGACCCCCCACGCTCTAGGGATCGAGGTTGGCGGCGGGATGATGGACGTCGTCATTCCTCGTAATTCACTGATTCCGGCGAAGAAAGAACTGTTCTTCTCCACGCATATTGACAATCAACCGGGGATGCAGATCAACGTCTTCGAGGGCGAATGCCGTCGGGCGTGGGATAATCGTCTTCTGCGGAGCTTGGACTTCGGCGGACTCCCGCCGTCGCCAGCAGGCTACCCGCAAATCTTCGTGAATATCGAAATCGACGCCAATTACAAGATCCAGGTTCTTGCGGAGGAGAGGAGAACGGGCATGAAGAAATGTGTGGACATCGAGCCCAGGGGATGCTTGACCAAACTGGAGATAGCGCGAATGGTGGAGGAGGCGGAGAGATTCAAGGCCGAGGATAGAGAGAGAAAGAGGACGGTGGATGCAAGAAACGCGTTAGAAGAGTACGTGTTCGGTCTTCAGAATCGATATCTGACGGACGAAAAAGGCGACGGATCAAAGGCAGATGCGCCGCTTCGAGACAGAGAGGAAATGGATGGCCTCTTGCAGGAAACGTTGACTTGGCTAGAGGACAACCAATTAGCAGGGGCAGAGGAAGTAGTGAGAGTTCACAAGGAATTGGAGAGGCTAATTAGTCCGATCACCGGGAGATTTGCGTCGGGTGCAGATGGTGATGGCCATCATGGCGGCGGCGGCGGTACAGGATCATCGCCGGGCGTCCCGCAGCCATCGCCATCGCCATCGCCGTCGTCGTTGCCGTCGCCGTCGCCTTCGCCTTCGCCTCCGACTGCGGCGAATTGTGAGAAAGCGAGGAGGAGCGATGGTGAGAAGTGGAGACCCAATTCCAAGGAAGAGAAAGCGGCGGACATATCCAACGACGACCGCGGTGGAAAGGAAGAGGAGAAAGAGAGGTCACAGGACCAACAAGATCAAGGGAGAGGGTCAAGGAGGATGCTGTGCGATTTCGAGAACTTGGTAGACGATCTGAGGAGAAGCATTCTGTACGACGAAATCCTTGCCGCCAAATTCGATCGCGCTGATAGATTGCGCATCGAGGAGAAGTTCCAGGACTTGAGGATGCGTTTGGCAATGAACTACGGCTGAACGTGGAAGGGAACGACTGTTGTAGTGGAAAATTTCATCTCATCTGTGGAAATCGCTTGAAGACCGTAACTGTCTGGGACATCTTTTTTTTGGAAACAGGACCAAGTCCCAGACAAGAGGGAGGAAAAAAAAGACGAAACTGCAAGGGACAAAAAAAAAAAGGTTTGAGCCAAGAGGGGAGGAGAAGAGCGCCATGGACCGACTGGAGTGGTGTTGAGGACTCGTCGGTCACTTCTTGAAGTGCATATCCACGGCGAGACTACGGGCGATAGCGGCGGTTCTGCGTTGATAAGGTTGCTGTCTCGATTGAATTGCTATGACGCCTACAGTCAAGGAAGGGGGGGGGGGCAAGAAGGGGGGCATTATTAACATTCGCCACATCTGCGGCGTCCGTAAGGTTTCTCTCTCGTTCAAATCGCTCTGACGCTTACAGTCAAGGAAAGGGGGGGGGGCAAGAAGGGGGGCATTATTAACAATCGCCCCTTCAGCGCCGATAAGGTCGCTCTCTCCTTCAAATCGCTCTCTGGTTCAAATCTGACGTCAGAGCGATTTGAACGAGAGAGCGACCTTATCGGCGGTGGGGAGAGGAGGGGGGGGCATTATGAACATTCGCCCCATCTGCGGCTTCGATAAGGTTTCTCTCTCGTTCAGATCGCTCTGGACGCTTGCAGTCAAGGAGGGCTGCCCGGGGGGGGGGGGGGGGGGGGGTTGAAGGGGGCGCATTATGATCATTCGCCACTTCAGCGACAGCGCAAGTTGGGGGGGGGGGGAAGAGGGGAGGGGGAAGGGGGGTTGTTCTTAACGCTGAAGCTTTCGATGTTTGTCTGATGTTCTCTCCGCGAGCAGTCTGACGAAGAAGTGAGAGCGCCATTTTTTTTCGGCGCCAAAATGTGTCTGACGAAGTTGAGCGCGCCATTTTTTTTCGGCGCCAAAATGTGTCTGACGAAGTTGAGAGCTCCAATTTCTTTTTCGGCGCCAAAATGTGTCGTGTGGCTCACATTTGGCAAGGAGGAGCTGCTGACTATCTTGATCGCCGATCGCCGATAGTCACAAATGTAAATCGAGGGTAATTATGAGGACAGAAGGGTAAACGAAGATCAGGTGGGATCTCATTCTCTTCCGATCTTCTCCATGTATTCGTCTAATGTCCGTCTATTAATCTACCCACCTATTTCCCTCTCTCTCTGTCTCTCTCTTTCTCTCTCTCTCTTTCTCTCTTTCTCTCCCCCCACTTGCGTCTCTGCAATATCTGTCCACGGTTTCTCCGATAACGTTCACTTTTCCTTGTTGCTTCCTCCCTGCATCTTTCTCTTCTCTCTCTCTCTCTCTCTCTCTCTCTCTCTCTCTCTCTCTCTCTCTCCCTAACTATGTATATTTGACGTTTCTCCATTTATTCCCACACATAAATTGACATTGTGGCAGGAGAATGCGAGCAAGAGAAACACGAGGGAGGAGACATGTAGATATAGAATTTGGATGAGCTCGCGTTTGTGTGTGTGTGTGTGTGTGTGTGTGAGAGAGAGAGAGAGAGAGAGAGAGAGAGAGAGAGAGAGAGAGAGAGGTGGACACCAACGTATCTTCCCGTGGAGTCGTGGAAGATTCATTCCCGTTTTCTACTTTTCAACAGTGCGCACACACAGAGACACACACACACACACACACACACACACACACACACAGAGAGTGAGAGAGAGAGAGAGAGAGAGAGAGAGAGAGAGAGAGAGAGAGAGAGAGAGAGAGAGAGAGAGAGAGAGAGATTTTTTTATGCCTATNGAGAGAGAGAGAGAGAGAGAGAGAGAGAGAGAGAGAGAGAGAGAGAGAGAGAGATTTTTTTATGCCTATTCGTTCCAGGTGAGTTTTAGGGTTAGGGTATATGATGAGCTGGCGCTTTGAAGCATTAAGACGGAAGTAACAAAGGTTCCAGCGGCATCTTCGAGAGCATTGATTTTTATGAAGCCGGTGTTGTGAGACGCCACTCGTCTTCTTGTTACCCCTAAATCACATCAACTTGAATGTACAGTACGTTACTCTTTGTGGTCATTTTGGGAGCCGTCCTTACAATTACTTTTCTTTTTTTTTGATTTTTTTTTGGTTGTGGGTACTTACTCTTACATTAGCGCGCGCTGCCTTCATGGATCGCCGGCTGGCTCTTCTCGAATGTTAAGGTCGATCACGATAACGCGCCCATTTGGCTATGTACTCCTTTACCTGTGTCATTCGTTCTGTTTTCTTTCTTTTTTTTTTCGTTCTTCTGAAGTTCTATTTTAAGTCCCGACTTCGGAAGGTGAAGTTTTGGGGTCCCCCCCCCCCCTCCCTGTATAGGCTTATTAGGAGTAGCGGTAGGTAGGGAGTGAAAGGTGAAATTGAGAGAAGAATGTAGGTTAGTTTTTATCAAAAAAAAATTTTGGTAACCTAACGAGTACTCACACTACCACAGTAATAATCTTACATGCATCTGACCGTAATTACCGCTGTACGTCCTTGGATGTATCTGACCGCAATTCCGTCTGCTCTTTCTTTATGTTTGTTGTTTGGATGTGTCTGGCCTCAATTCCGTCTGTTCTATTTTTAATTTTTGTTGTTCAAGGAGAAAAGAAGTATGCCCCGATATTTGCTGTTGTTGTTTAGGTGTTTTTTTTTTTTTTTTTTCCCCTTGTGTTTTTTCTTTTTAATATGTTTTCTTGTTGTGATATGGACGGGGGGATTTTTTTTATTATTTTTTTTAAATTACCTTGGCGGGCCCGCTGATCAAGTATTACATTTAGAGGAAAATGGAATTTTGTACATTCAAACTGTCCCGCTCATCAATTATTTTTTTGCGGGGGGGGGAAGGAGGGGGGGAGCAAGAAAAAAAAGGTAACGGAATTTTCAATTTCTCGAAATGTATCTCTAGTTTTTTTTAGTCGTATTAACCCTTCAATTAATTATTTTATTTAATTAGTTTATTGTAAATCTAGAATTATCGTAGCGTGCGTGTACCATACAGCCACGAGATCCGTAAGGGAGCATTTCGCGTTTTATGCGTGTCATCCTTGTGTTGGGGGCGAGGGAGAAAAAGCCTGAAAAAGGTAACGGAACTTTCAATTTTCTCGAAATGTACCCCTAAGTTTTTATACGCGTATCGACCGTCAATTAAATTATTTTATTGTAAATCTATAATTATTGTAGCGTGCGTGTACCATTTAGCCACGAGATCCGTAAGGGAACGTTTCGCGTTTTATGCGTGTCATCCTTCTTGTGTAGGGGCCGTGTTAGAGTCTTCTTCTGTATCGTTCCAATTTAAACCGATGTCCCCCGGGACGTACTCTTAATTTCCCTTCTTTTTTTTTTCTTTTTTCTTTTTTTTTCTTTTTTTGAAACGGGCAGCGGCCTTTTTGATATCATGATTTGTATTGAACGACGCGACGTGATTCAATTTTGCAGTATTTTACTACTTGGTCTGCTTCGAATGGAGTTTGTACTCAGGTCTGTATTTCGACAGTTCTGGGGTGTACCAATTGAGCTAGGCCAGTCGGTAGAATTTCCGTTTTGCCCCTCAATCGAACCCCAAGTTTTCTGCATCAGGAGTATTATTATTATTATTATTATTCCTAGCCGAACCGTATGTTCTCCGTATTACTATTCTTAATTTTTAACTAATCTTTTTTTTTCTCTTTTTTTTTTTTTGTTGTTGTCGTCCTTGCGCAGCGGCCATGCGAATCTTCTATCTCCGTATCGTTCCAATTTTTAATGGATGTCCCGAAGAACGAACTGACCTATTTTATCGTTTTACATATGTGGAAGTTCTTTTTTTTGTTTTTTTCGACGTGGTCGTTTTACATATGTGAAAGTTTTTTTTTTTCTTTTTTCCGACGTGGAGAGATGATGTCGGAGCTGGTACAGACTCGACGGTCAGGATTTTTGTTTCTGCCCCTTCCCCGACATCTTTTTTTCTTTTGTTTTTGTTGCTGGGAATTTCTCTCGTTCGTTTTTTTTGTTGTTGTTGTTGTAATTCTTATAGCGCAAACTAACGGTCTCGCCGCACGGCACACGAAACGAAAACGAAACGAGTGCATCTGCCCACGAAAGGTGGCAAAATACACTCGTTACTATTTATAGCAAACGGATGAACCTGGCCACTTTGTGCAGGAAGATGCACACGTTTCGTTTTTCGTTTCGTGTCCCGTGCGGCGACGCCCTAAGTCATGACGGGATCTGAATCGAAACCCCCCTCCCTCCCATCTCCCTCTCTTCCTAACTCTCGCCCTCCCAACTCCCTCTCTCTCTCTAACTCTCGCCCTCCCAACTGCCTCTCCCCCACTCTCGCGCTCCCAACTCCCTCTCTCCCCCACTATCGCCCTCCCAATTCCCTCTTTCCCTAACTCTCGCCCTCCTAATTCCCTCTCTCCCTAACTCTCGCCCTCCCAACTCCCTCCCTCCCACTTGTACCGTATCCACCATACCCTCTTGTCAAGCACCATTTTTAAAGCAAAATGTACGTCGTTCGGTGTTATTTACAGCACACATCGCTTCATGGTAAGTTCTGAAAAGTGGGGAAGAGAAGAAAAGAAACTGCCGCTTTTTTAGGCAGGCCTTTCAACTCCCTCCTCCCTAGCTCACGCAGTTCTTATCCGCCTTACCCAACCGCAACAAAAAAAAAAAGGGAAAATTTGCGAAATGCCCCTGAATTTTCCGTTTATTTGCGATTTGCCCTGGGACGGACGATGTTTCTTGATTTGCCCCTCTGACAACGACTCAAGTTTCCAGAAAACCCCTGACGTCACTTGGGCCTGAAATATGTTCAATATGCCCCTACCGGTACTGCCACCAATTTTTCAGTATGCCCCTACTTGTTTGTCGTTAAGGACCTGCAGTGGAATTTTGCCATATGCCGCTACCCGGCCTACCGGTACCATGCATCTTTTCAGTATGCCCCCACGACCGTTGTTGGCAGTCACGGTCGTTCCCCTGGCCCTGTGATGAGAGCTACTGGGGTATATCAAAAATTTGTCCATGCTGTCATCTTTCTGTTGCATCCTCCATCGTTTTGCATGGACTTGGGCCTCTGTGGCTGGGCATTTTGGGCCTGTGCGCCCCCCCCGCATGTCATGCACATGATGGTTCTGCTCTCTCTCTCTCTCTCTCTCTCTCTCTCTCTCTCTCTCTCTCTCTCTCTCTCTCTCTCTCTCTCTCTCTTC